ATGAGGAGTCTTTATATAATTGTTTGCTGTTTTGCTTTCTTTTTTCTTTCCCTTTTCTTTTTTTTTTCTTTTTCCTATTCTGTTCAATTAAATAAAGGCCTTTTTTTTTTACAGAGTACATTTGATATAAGTGAGAGAGTTAAGAATGTGCCTAAATCCTCCATTGAAATTTTGTTTGCTGTTTTGCTTTCTTTTTTCTTTCCCTTTTCTTTTTTTTTTCTTTTTCCTATTCTGTTCAATTAAATAAAGGCCTTTTTTTTTTTACAGAGTACATTTGATATAAGTGAGAGAGTTAAGAATGTGCCTAAATCCTCCATTGAAATTATAGTGCATAATTATATTTGGATAATTTCTTTTGTGTGATTTAAGTTTCAGTTTTATTTCAGCTAGTTTAATTTCTTGTAATGATTATATCTATGCCAAGTGAGAGATAAAATTGTGACTCTGGGAAAATGGGTTAACTCTCATTTATGCAAAAGCTGTGGTTTAGACATTTTGTTAACATCTTTTACTATAATCTTTCCAAAGATTGTGGGAAAGCTTTATGCTTCTTAATAATTCCCAAATCAAGAAACTTTATGAATTAGACAAGGGAGGGGTTCCAAACATCTTATGACAGAACATGAAAGGGAATGGGACAAAAATTGCTGTTCAGGAAAAAACCTGTTTTACAAGCGCAGTTCCCTCTGCATTAATAATAAATAGTTCTTGTTCATCTGGTTGATGTAAGGACTGGGCATTCTGTGTTTCCAATCACTGTTAATCCCTTGTATAAAAATTAAACAATCATACAGTAGTAACTTTTCAAAAGCAGTACACAGTAAACAAGAGACTTCTGTATGCTGCCATTTTAGAAGAAAAAAGGTGTTAAACTGGACTATGTGGACAGCTAGAATGTTTTGCAGAAGGCATTCCTTAATCACAGCTCTGCCATGGCAATTCCCATGAAGCTATGGAATGTTGGTTTGATGATTTCTTTAAAAATCCTTAGTTTCTTCTGAGAACTAGAAGTCCCTCCTAAGAGTATTTTGGAGAAAGATAATACAGGTTAACACTATTACATTGTGAATGTGCCAGTGAAAAAAGGGCAACTCCTAATAATAAAATCTTTCAAGCAGACTTTCATCTAAATAAACTACTGCATTTTGACTTTCTTGATAATTTATTATACAATATCATGTTTGAAAATTAAATGCTTGGAGTGCTTTAAATTCAGATTGCTAATGTAATATGTGAAGAATGGATATTGTAAAAATTAAGCTAAATAGAAAACTTAAATGTTTTTATGCTTTTATTGCTATGGTTGGTCTAATTTTTAAATGTTATGCAAATGTACTTCTGGATTCACAATTACAATCTTTTACTTTTCTGTAGTGAATATAAGAACAATATCAGGAAAGTTGATAAAGGTGTACAAGAAATTGTTTCATTGGTTGAGGACTTCTATGGAAATGATGGCAACACAGCATTTATCTTAACTTCTGACCATGGGATGACAGACTGGGGTGAGATTTTTCAGAACACTGAAAGTTCAGCTCAGAAAATCTTTGTCCATTGTGTTCCATGTTCCCCTTTCTTTGTTCATAACACAGTCCAGTATTTTCTTTGCATATGGTTAATTATATTTTGGA